TTGAAGAGGTAAATTGACATGCTTAAAATTTTCTAGTTAGAAAGTGATAGAACTGAATCTAGAAGATACTAAAAGTTAAGAGATATAAAATCTTTTTTAAAAATTTCTTGTAAGGAACAGTCTTAAACTGAGTTACCTGAGTGTTTTGAAATGTTAATTTTTTCCCTCTCCCTTTTAACTGCATTCAAAACTTAGAACAGACTTCCTCCACAAAACCCATTAAAGGAAGGAGTGCTTCTTTTTAATTATTCTTGGTTAAATTTATTATTGTAGTAATATTTTTTTAAAAAAGGAAAGGGGTGAGTTGATTCCTGTAGCTCTCTTCTCCAATGTCATTAAATGACAGGGTTGCTTTTATGTATTTCCAGTGAGTCAGCCTTCCTTTCTCACATTTTTTTCATCTTTGATCAGCTGTGCTATCACAGGGAGTGTCGCGAGGGCAAACTCCTAATTGAAAGTTTCTATGATGTAATAGAGCTACTGGCAGGAATTTTAAATCCAGAAACAGTTGATTGTCTTGGTGATAGGAGTGAGGAATTACTTCGGGATTATACAGAGAACTGAAGTAAACAGATAATCTCATTTATCAGAGCAACCACTTCAGGGACTGTACTTTTCCTTACTCAGAGAGAGGCGAAAAAGCCTTTAAGGCCATGAAAGTTTTTGTATTTTTGTATAACATAATGCTATCATTATGATCATGCAGAATTATGTAGTGGGCACTCCGTAAAATATTTGTTGAAGTAATGCCCTCTTTATTGGAGGTTCCTCCAAGCCCCCTCAAGTCCATTGCTGGTGATGAGGTCATTGTAGTCAGTCATCCAGTGGGAGAGTGGCAGAGAGGAGGTGAGAGAGAAGCAGAAAGAGAACAGAACGGAGTGTATTGGAAGAGTTGGAGTTTTGGAGTCAGACAAGCAAGAGTTTGAACCTTGGTTGTCACCTACTGACTTTGTAACCTAATATAAATAACATATAATGTTTCAGGCTGTTTTATTTTATTTTATTTAAGTATAGTTGGCCTGAATACATTCTCTGTTGTACCACACTCTACCAAAAAAGAAAATATTGTTCATTCTTTAGACATTGATTTTTTAAATAACAGATATAATTGACAATATAACATTGTGTAAGTTTAAGATGTACAACATATTGATTTGACATAATTTATATTGCAGAGACATTGACTTTTAAATAAAATTTTTAATTCAAGGCAAGGCAACCTTGATATCATTTTCATGAAGCAGTGATGGCTAACTTAGTATAATAACCTTTAACAACTTTGTATATGTGTGCCATTCTCAATTAGTTACCACCATAATAACTTAAAATTAATATTAGTTTATTCATGGAAATTCATCAGCTAGTGTGACAAGTTGTCTCAGATTTCTCTATAATCAAAGGTGAGCTTTCACTATCTCAGCCTTAGCCTTAGATAAAAATCAAAATTTGAAAAACAGGATTAGTGAATAAAATTTCACATTTTAAACTTTTATCATGTTGAAATATGAGATTAAAACCAATTTAGGGCTTTTTCGTTTCCTTATGTGGTGGTTGTTTTGAGATGGACCATGCTGAATTAATTGAATGGTTCTCGTATAATGATTTTTGGAATAAAACCCACAGAGACTTGGCCATGTTAGAAGTACCATTGGTAATCTGATAGTAATATAGAAAATGTGTTACTATCAAGGCAACTCTTTGGTGTTAATTTCAGTGTTGGATCTAGGTCACAATTCATCTTCTGCATACCAAATACGTCCTCTGAAGCCTGAAATAACAGGATCTATTCAGAGATTTTTTTTTTTCTGTGAAATTGCTAAACATTTAGCAATGGGTAATTAGATAATTTTTAAAAAATTGGTTTAACCTTTATATTTAATGGCATTAACATTTAATTGCTTGGGAGAGTTGCCTAAATTACTGATTTGATATATAGGAAAAGTATTTAGATGAATTTATTTGGTAAGAAATATAAATGACCGTTACTAAGTGTTTTAATTAACTCAAATATTTAGTTGTATGTAGAATAAAAGATTACTTTTAAAAAAATATTATTCACTGAGCCAAACCGATCAGGGCTAAAAGATTACTTTTTTTGCCCTGGACATTGTAACTCAATGGTTAGAGTGTCTGCCTGGGCACTGAAGGTTCAATTCCCCAGTCTGGGGCCCCAGACAGGGCATATGCGGGAAGGCAACCAATCATTGTGCCTCTTTCACATATTTTTCTCTCTCTCTCCCTCCTTCCCTTCCTCCCTTCCACCCTTCCACTCTCTCTTAAAAAATCAGTGGAAAAAATATCCTCAGGTGAGGATAAATGATTCCCCCTACCCCCTCCAAAAAAAGAGTGCTTTTTCTCTTGCCAGTTTAAGTAATACATGTATATTTTGGTAAATGATCTCAGTTTAATTACAAGTGATGTTTGCAGATGGTTTTCTTTTTATTGTTTAAATGCAAATATTAAATAGAATGAAAGTCATTTGGTATCATATTAAAGTCTTTGATTGCACTTTAAAAAAATTTTTTAGAAGATTTTATAACCTGGGTATCTGGTTATTAAAATGATTTTGTATAGACTACTGCAACTATCATATATTTACATATTTTATACCAAGAAAACTTTTTACTGTAAAGTTTATTGAGCCTGTTTTTTCCACATATAGTGATAGGATTAGTGGGCATAGCTATCTCAGCACTGAATTAGTTGTATTGTGCCAGAAATACTATAGTTGGCTGGATAAAATCTACACAGTACATACCACAATGTGCTTGAAGGTGGGTCAGGACAGCACCTGATATTTAATCCTAAAGAAGTCTTGCTAGATATATTTTCCAACTAGTAAATAAAAGATGCCATTCTATTTTGGATTTGCCAATCCATGACGATCCCTTAAAATTAAAAATACATTTTTTAGCCGAAACCGGTTTGGCTCAGTGGATAGAGCGTCGGCCTGCGGACTGAAGGGTCCCAGGTTCGATTCCGGTCAAGGGCATGTACTTGGGTTGCGGGCACATCCCCAGCGGGAGATGTGCAGGAGGCAGCTGATCGATGTTTCTCTCTCATCGATGTTTCTAACTCTCTATTTCTCCCCCTTCCTCTCTGTAAAAAATCAATAAAATATATAAAAAAAATACATTTTTAAATTATGAAAATAATAAATGTTTTTGTAGGAAGTTGGAAAATACATGTAAGTAAAAAAGAAGAAAGCTAGACATTTATGATCCTACCAGCCTAGATAACTACCATTAACACTTTGGTGTATATTTCTCCAGATATTTTCTGTGTTGTATATATACAAAATACCTATAGGTAAGACAGAATTTTTCCTCTCTTTAGGTACTTCGCTTCTCCCTGGAATATTTTTCTCTCAAAAACATGCTTGTCTTCTCTTCTAGTTAGGACTTAGTCTAAGTGTCACCTCCCATGGAGAGCTTCCCCAGCGTCTAGAGCAGTGATGGCGAACCTTTCGAGCTCGGCGTGTCAGCATTTTGAAAAACCCTAACTTAACTCTGGTGCCGTGTCACATATAGAAATTTTTTGATATCTGCAACCATAGTAAAACAAAGACTTATAATTTTGATATTTATTTTATATATTTAAATGCCATTTAACAAAGAAAAATCAACCAAAAAAATGAGTTCGCGTGTCACCTGACACGCGTGTCATAGGTTTGCCATCACTGATCTAGAGTAACCTACTGACAACTTCCTTTTTCTTGTACAACTAGATTGTATGACCCAAGAGAGCAGGGATCATGTGTTTCTTAGTTAATACCACTTTCCTAGTGCCCAGAAGTGTCCTCGGTACATAATAGGTGCTAAATAGGTAAATGCCTGAGTGATGAATGTTTAATATTATAAAAATGGGATAAGGTTTATACATATGTTAGCTGCTCTGGAAAGAGCAGATTGCTTACAATTTAGAGGAAAGGTGGAAAATTAAATAAGTAATAGCACTGAATGTGGTTAGTACTGTGATGAGAAGTACAGTAATAGGAAACATACAGTAGGAGTTACTAAGAGAAGGCTTTCTGGAAGAGTGACAATGTAAGCCTTTTCTAACCTTGTAATTTGTCAGTTCTTTTCATCTGTAATATAATTTACAATGGCTGGGTAGTATTTTATCATATGTAAGTACCAGAGTTTAATCAGTATCTTATTAATAGACAATTGGGGGATTTCCTAAATAATCTATAATAATAAAAGCGTAATATGCTAATTAGACTGGTCATCCTTCCGGATGACCTTCTGGACGAAGCCGGGGCTGCAAGGGAAGTCCGGGTCCCGGGTGCCAGAGGGAAGCCTGTGCTGGCCGCTGGGGGAAGGAGGGCCTACTCTTGCACGAATTTCGTGCATCGGGCCTCTTGTGCTCTCACAGATGTCTTTATGGTCTTCAGTTATTTTCTTAGGTAATTTTTACTTGTGCGTGGAATTTTTGGGTCTGAAAATTAGAAATATTTTCAAGGCTTTTGGCACATTAATTTTGGAGAGTACCAAATTGCCCTTCATCAAAGTTGTACTAGTTTATACTTTCAGCAACAGTACATGAGAATGAAAAAAAAAGTTTTTGCCAATTTTGTAGGCAAAATGGTGTCTTACAGCTTAATTTGCCTTTGTTTGATTCACCTATATGTATCATAGTAATGTGTAACTGATAGCAAAATACGACGAGCTCCAGTGTAGATTTTACAGTGGTTACCATACTGCATAGCATATGTGAAATCAATAACTTCTCTATTTCCTTTTGTTTTTTGATTGCAGATTATATTAAGTTATATGCTGACCTTTGCATTATCTACTCTTTAGCATAATCCTCAAACCAGAATATTATTGTATTCTAAGATTTTTGTCTCATTTTATAAACATGTAAGCTGTAATAATGACAAATTCATAGAAACTAAGAATAGGTTACTTAATTTGATAAAAAGTACCGTAAGAAGTTTGTATGTTGACACTAGACCAAGCAACTGACTTCTTTTTAATTATTGTGGCCAGAAACACCAGATGAAAATGGTAAAACCCAGAGAGCTGATGATTTTGTTTTGAAGAAAATAAAGAAGAAAAAGAAAAAGAAACACCGAGAAGACATGCGAGGAAGACGCCTTAAAATGTACAATAAGGAAGTCCAGACGGTCTGTGCTGGCCTGACGCGCATCAGTAAGGAAGTCCTCACCCACGGCCAAGCAAACAGCACGTCGGGCGTTAACAAGGAGTCCTGCAGGTATCTGAGAGATGAACAGCTGTGCCGCTTAAACTTGGGCATGCACGAATATCGGGTGCCCCAGGGAGTACAAACACCTTTCATGACCCACCAGGAGCATTCTATTCGTAGAAATTTCTTAAAAACAGGTACTAAGTTTAGCAACTTTATTCATGAGGAACACCAGTCCAATGGCGGTGCTCTGATCCTTCATGCGTACATGGATGAACTCTCATTTTTGTCTCCAATGGAGATGGAGAGATTTTCTGAGGAGTTTCTTGCTTTGACATTCAGTGAAAATGAGAAAAATGCCGCTTACTATGCTTTAGCAATAGTGCACGGGGCGGCTGCTTATCTCCCGGACTTCTTGGACTATTTTGCTTTCAATTTCCCCAACACTCCAGTGAAAATGGAAATTCTGGGCAAGAAAGATATCGAAACAACCACCATTTCAAATTTCCACACTCAGGTAAGGCGATCTCATTGTTACATTATTTAGTAAGCACAGTTACAGTACATGCTAACCCTCATTTTGTTGCTCAGCACATACCAGCGCACTTTTAATAAAAACTCATGGTGGTAAATGTGGTTCAGATTGTTTATTTCTCTAATTGAAAAATCTTGATTGCTGAAGTTCTTTGGGATGTGGCATATGACTTGCTTGGTCTAAGAAATGCTTTATACATAAACTGTTACACATGATTACACGTCTTTATGGAAAACCAGCTTGAAAACTAATGCATTCTTTTGCAGATTAGGCAATGTTAGCATGGGCGGTGTGATTTAGAACTGGTAGCCTCAAGGTAACTCTAGTAAACTTCATCTTTTGTGTCATCATAAAACATCCGAGGGCATTGACCTGTTTATTTGCCGGGTTTTTGCTTTTCTTTCAGTAACTTGTTGGCAGTCTATCCCAGAAACATCCCTTCTCTATGTGACTTGGAAGTGTCACTGGGAAGACCGCCTTAGCTGCCGCTCCTTCTGCCTATGCCGTGCTGTGGGTGAAGACATTTTCTGAAGCCTTGCTTGCTCGGGCAGCCAGGCTTAAGTCAGCAGGGAAACTCTTTCCTATCCAGTGGTTTAAACAAAACATTTTTTTTTTTCACTGAAGTTATCTTAGGGCATAAACTGCAGTTGATAACATGTTCTAGATTTTTTTCTTGCTTGATTTTCTCATAAGGATTGTGAACGTGGATGGTCAGCTGTAAGTTTGTGTTATAGATACAAATTCTACACAAGTTTCATGGAGAATGTGACACTCTTAGAGAGTTATAATATAACCTGTTTTTTTCAGGTTATTTGATAATTTGCTGCCATTCTTAAGAGGTGTTTTTTTTTGTAGGTAAATAGACTCTTGTGTCATAAGACTCTCGGCTGTCTGCATTAGAGTGGTTTCAAGCCACTTAGATATGAACTCTCCTCTAACTTGAATCTTTTTAGTGCTTCTTACCATCCTTGCCTCCAATGAGGGGAGTATCCAGTTTAGATTTATGAGCTTCACAGTTTCTCTAATTGAAGTTCTCTCTGCAGTAGAGAGAGCAGGAGCAGCCAATCTGGAGAGGTCGCAAGATGGGGCTGCCCAAGATGTTGGAACACGATGTGCAATAAAGGGCTTCGTCTTGGATTTTGGCCTTGTTACCACTATCAGGTACCGAAGTGCTGACTTGTAGTAGATTTTGTTTTTTTTTTTCCTTTTCTTTTTTTTAAAGGAGTGAGTATAGCCCCTTAAAACTTAAGGAATCCTATTTTTATCAATATTGCAGAAGGGACTGAAAATAGTTCTCCTAATGTAGTCCATAGTCCCCATAAGTCCTTGTTTAACGAAGATCTTGCTGAGAGCAGAATTAATACGCTCTTTCACTTTTTTAGTTTAGAAAGCTGCAGCAAGTTTTCTCTTCTGATTGATAGACCAGCACGCATATCTGAGAAGTAAGCCAGAAGCTTGGGGTGGTGGGGAATTTTGGTTTTGTGATGATGACTTTTTAATATTAGTTTTAGTGGATCAAGATATTTAGAGCCGATATCTCTAAATATTCCCTGCTGATTTTTGTCTTCCAATTGATTTTTTTCAATGGAGCTGAAATTTCAATGACTGTACCAACAACTTACCTTGAGATTTATTTTCATATTTATAAAATAACCACTTTCTAAGAACATACCAGATTATTTAAAAATTTTATGTCATTAAATACTTTAACCACATGAGAATATTGAGGACTATTGAGTGTCAAGCTCTGATGATCCTTGGTGAGGGAACTTCATTTTATTTATGAATATTGAATCATTGAGGAGAAAGATGAGGTGGGTGTGAAAGTTGGTATAGCCTAAGAAACTTTAGATTTGCGGTGGAGGAAACATTGGCAGATGTTGGGATGGAAGCTAACACAGTAGTTCAGATTTATTTAGCACTTCATGATTTATAGGAATGCTTTCACATTCATATCTGAATATTTTAAACACAACTCATGTGGTAGGTAAACAATTTTATCTTTGTTTTCCATCAAAGAAACTGAGGGTTGGGATGTTTATTGTTATCCAAGGTTATGTAGCTAGTAAGTAGAAGTCAGGGAGCAAACTGCAAACTTAGGCCACTTGAACAATATGTGCATCATTTTACCATACTCCTTCCTTACTTCAGCCATTGGACGAGAGAGTAGTGCTTTTATTTGTCTAACACTGTAGTCAGTGAAATGAAAATATCTCAGTTTAACACACTATTCAGAGGCTATTCTAATATTTTCAACAAATACCTTTAGATTGTTGGGAATTAAGTGAATACCTTAAGTGTTTTGGACTTCTGTGTTTTGTGAAGTCTTATCAAGTTCTGTTGAGCCAAAAATAAGTGAAGTAAATTTTTTATTATCTTAAAGACAATTATTTGAGGTTATAATTTAAATATGTAGCCATAATAATTATTCATGAGTATATTTCAAGAAACTTTGCTCAGCAAATATTTATGGAGAACCTATCATGTACTGCACGTTCTGTTCTTAAAAGGACTAATTGATGAGCTCAGTTTAGTGGAGAAGATGAATAAACCAGCGGTTATAATGCAGTTTGACAAGCAAGAGCATAGAGGTATGCATAGGGAAAGCAGTAATAACAGAGGGAGTACAGTTTGTGGTGTTACCTAACTCAGGCTCGAGGTGATTAGAAAAGACATTTTAAAGCATGTAGTAATGCTTGAGTGGGGTCTTGAAAGGTTAGTACTTAGCTTAAGAAGGGCATTAAAAGAATACAACCTATGCAAACGCACATATTAAAGAATGTAGCACTTTCAGGAAGCTGGGAATAACTTAATACAGCAAGAATACATGCTGACTTAGGGGGTGGTGAGAGTTGAGACCAGAAAGATAGACAAAAATCAAGATTGTGAAGAGCTTTATATATGCTAAAAAGATAGTGTTTTTTTCTTAGAGGTAATGGGGAATCATTGGTGAATTTTAAGAGGGGCTTGCTATCAAGTTATGGTTGCAAAGATTACACAGTAGTGGGAAAATGAGATCGGAAGCAAGAAGATTGGTTAGTTTACTGTGGTAACCAGACAAATGATTCATGTCCAAACTGATATTGATGCCAGAGAGGAAGAAATGAAATTTGAGCAGTAATTAGAAGATGGGATTATTTGCACTTGGTGAGGGAGAAGTATACGTAGAGTCTTAAGATGTGATTTTGACAATGGACTGACTGATGGTGGTGCTGGTCACAAAGTCAATACAGGGTTGACAAAGCTGTTTTGGGGGTGGAAGGTATTGATGAGTTCTGTGTGAGGTGTTTTGTGTTGGAGATACCTGTGAAGACTATGATTAGACATGTCTACTAGGTAGTTAAGTATATGGACCTATGATTGGGAGACATGTCTAGGCTGGAGATGCAGAAGTTGAATCCATTAGCCTATAGGTGATCAGGGACAGCATTAGAATGGAAGAGAGAAAGTAGAGAATGGAATCCTGTGCTGCACCCACGTGTGGAACGGGAAGAGATAAAGACAAAGAGGGAGAAGGAAGTTAGATGACAAGTTTTCTAGCTTTTATGAATGTTGGAGTGATTGTCATATCCATACGAGGAATGAAGTAAGATAAGGTGGGGAAAATGTTAGGTTGCTCAATTGGGAATGAAATTGGAAACATTATCAAGACCAGTGCTTTGCAAACCATAGCCATCTTAATATCGTAAGTTACGCTTTTTTAAAATAAGCTTGCTATTGAATGTGTGCTCAATATCTGAATTTGGCATCAACAGAGAGCTTGCTAGAAATGCAGACTTTCAGACCTCTAACCAGGTCTTCTGAATCTCAATCTACATTTTAACAAGATACCCAGGTAGTACACATGCACACTAGAGTTTGAGAAGCACTACTGTAGAACTCACCTCCACTAGCCAGAGGAAGTAAAATATAATTTGTTTGGGGCAAGAAAACCTGTAGCTTCTGCTATTTTTATATTTTTAAACTATTATAGTTGGTAAGCTAGGATGCACATATAGGTGAGTTTTTTTCCCTTTGAATATTGTATTAAACTTAAATATTCTAACACCAAAGGAGGTAAGTTCATGATAAATATCAATTAAAGCGCCAAGCTGATCCTCAAATTTGATGACTTAACTCAGCAGTTGATGCAAGGATGACTTTGTAAAGTTTGAGTTCTTGATTTAAAGGGCTACAATTCTGTAGAATTATTCAAGTCTAATTAGTTTTAAATAGTCATTAGCTAAATAACTGTTTTGACCAAAGCATTCAAGTGTTTGTGGAATCTTTTGGTCAGTTAATGGAGAAAAATTAGAAACGTATTTCACCCCCCCACCAAAGAATACACACACACACACACACACACACACACACACGCAGGCACGCACGTGTATTTTCAGGAATAATATAATTTATTATTTTTGCTTAGATTAGTGGTTCTCAACCTTCCTAATGCTGCGACCCTTTAATACAGTTCCTCATGTTGTGGTGACCCCCAACCATAAAATTATTTTCGTTGCTACTTCATAACTAATTTTGCTACTGTTATGAATCATAATGTAAATATCTGATATGCAGGATGTATTTTCATTGTTACAAATTGAACATAATTAAAGCATAGTGATTAATCACAAAAACAATATGTAATTATATATGTGTTTTCCGATGGTCTTAGGCAACCCCTGTGAAAGGGTCGTTTGACCCCCCCCTCAACGGGTCGCGACCCACAGGTTGAGAACCACTGGCTTAGATAATTATATTGTGCAACTATCAGCACTAGAAAAACATTTTTAATGGTTTTAAACCTTGAAGTGTTCTGCAATAAGTATGCAATACTTGGCTCCCCTCCTTATAAAAGTCCTGTGGCCTCTGATAAACTGATTAGCAGTTCAGATATCCTTCTAGTCACCTTATGGACTAACAGGATTTGAGAGTGGGTGGTGTCATTTCCTAGCCTTTGTTTCATAGGTGAGGAAGATCATATTTTGTTTGTGACCTTTTCC